TAACAAATTAAGTGCATTTTATATTGATTGAGGGGGCCTTTGTAAATATATTGCTTTCATTATTTTTTTTTTGGCAAATTATTTGCAAAGATAAATCATCAAATCCCCTACACTTTCAATCCAACCAATGAAGAATCACCTTATTAAAATGATGGAAATTCATAGTTAAAGGATGGAAGATTCATAGAAATCTCAGGATTTATAAACTTCTTGTATGCCATTTCATTCAACTTATTCCTCAAGAAGAAGTTGTTCTTTTTACAACCTGCAGATTCTGAGCACTTTCCATGTGGCAAATTATTTACTCCTTTGCAAAGCTAAAATATTCCGTATAAAATCATCTATTACTACCTATACACTCGGCACCCAAAGTGGAACTGTGTTCAAGCAGAAAAAGCCACGTAAGTAAAGCTGAAATTGCTTATGATGTATTTCAACTCATGAGAATCTCAAACTTTGTTTGAAGCAACAGGAACAGAGCTCACATCAGCATTACCACCACACAGCTGAGCTCACCGTGTGGGTCCAAGGATGTGTGGCACATATGCAAAGTCTACTTCCAAGCAAATCAACATGAAGAGGGAAAACCTCTAAAAGAAAATAGTGCAATGGCATCTCCAAAGCCAGAAAACCATTACAAAGTCAGCAGAAGGGATTTGCTTGCAATAGACAACACTCTTGCAATTAGGGCTTTTCTGTTTTCATGGGTTTGGGAAATCTGAAACCCTTGAGAAAAACTATTGGGTATATTCAAAACAAGATGTTCACTGGTGAATTAAGTTCTCTGTTTAGATGTGCAGAAAACAAGCATTTTTTTGCAATGCTTGAAATTGAGGACAGAGCTGCAGAGGTTGCATGATTAAAGCAAAGCCCCATGATGAAAAAGTAAATTGCCTCTTATCTTCTTTGATGATGTAGATTGCACTTGAGAACAAATCTGATGATTTCTGCAACACATAAGGTGAAGCTGGAAAGGGACTACAGAGTTGCTTCTAACAAAACTTTTTTTACTAAGTCCCCAAAGTCTTAATTTTTTAGCTTATATTTTTTGATTTTAAGTTTTCATTTACTTATTTATTAAAAAAATTTTTTCTTTTAAAAGATGACTGGTAGTGGGATCTTAACCCTTGACTTGGTGTTGTCAGCACCATGCTCTACCAAGTGAGCTAACCAGCCATCCCTATATAGGGGTCTGAACCCATGGCCTTGGTGTTATCAGCACCGCACTCTCCCAAGTGAGGCACAGGCTGGCCCAGGTTTTCATTTAATTAAAACTTTTAATTTCCATGAATAACTTTGCAGACTTTTCTATCATAAGCGTACCTTCTTTCACTTTAGCACAAGGAAACATACAGAGGCAAGTATGACTTAAGTTGATATTTCACTTAATGTAGTTCTGTCTAGCTCAAAATTGTAATGGATAACATTTAAGGAGTGTGCATGTGCATCACGGGCAAGACACAAGGGCCATCTCATCTATCCTCACAGCAACTTAAAGAGGTAGCTACTATTACTATTCCTGTTTTTTAGACAAGGAAACCAGGCCTTTATGAAATAAAGTATTGCTTGAGATGACACAATTAGCAAGCAACGAAGGTACGGCTTAAACCCAAGTCGATGTACTACCAAGTCTGTTTCTTAGCCACAATCCTATTTTGCCTTCCTAACAAAGATACGGGGTAATTTAGTGTGATATAAAAGGAATTAACTGGATGAGCTAGGATTAGACAAGAGCGGTTAGGTTGTGGAATAATTAATTTCAGCTAACAGGAATACATCCTAACCATCAAAGTTATTGTGAATTTCAATAGCTATGAGTCACCTTTAGATGTCCTCTGTGAAGGAGGATGTGAAGCAGGAACTAGTAACTGAGGCATGATTCCAGCCAAGAAGATTTCAGCTATGAGGACAGAAAGCTACCAATGGTACTTGCTCAACAGAAGCAGGAGTCAAATCAGGAAGATGCACAGGACAGTGAGAAAAGGTCTAGGGTGAAAGCTCCTCGTCCTACCGTCAGCACACATTACTAGCAGGCCTGAGTTGGGGTCCCGACTATGTTATTTGCAAGTGACATGACAAATCACTAAATCTCTCTGGGCTTCAGTTTCTCCATCTGTAAAGTAAGGAGGTTGAACTAGCAGACCTCTAATATCTCAATCTAAAGGTTGGAACAGATGTTAAAAATCAACCAGTCCAATCACCCGCAAGATGCCTACAACTCCTCTGTCATATCTGCTTCCATTACAGTTCCAGCCTCTCTCAGATAAAGTCGCAGCCAGTGCACCTTTCCCAGCTCTTAGCTGGATTCCCTTTCTCTGTAGCATAGATCTTTGGCTCTAATTTCAATATTGGTTCCTTCCAGCTGCAACAATATAGAATTTATTGAAGGCTCAAAATCAAGTGTTATTAATTATAGTGGCTTTAATTACTTATAATTAAGAGAATTATAGTTCCTGCCAAATGCATTATCTATTAATTCAATCCTACAGATGAATTTTAAATTTTTAAGTAATTAGCATACAATAGAATAGCCAACACTAGAACTACCTTGAACATAAATTTAATTTTTCTTTCAAGGAACTCAGGATCCCTTCAAATATTTTAACCTCAGGGATATCATTCAGATGATTCTGAATGATATCTGCAATTCACTGTGGCCATGGAAGGTACAAGAGGATTGGGCCATGGCTATGTATCTCTAAGAGGTGTCTTGGAGGGGACATATAAAACAGGGAGACTTTCACTTTCACTTGGAGGTAGACCACCAGGCAGACATAGGTCACACAATCCACCAAGGAGGGTATGATTGGGGGTGAGAAAATACAGGACACTTCCTTTACATAAGCTGGCTGACTTCAGCTAGGCAATGGCCTGAGACTTGTCATCCTAAACAGTTTGACTACAGCCCAGAAAAGCTGCAATTAAGGCATTCAACTAGACGAGAACATGAAGGAAAGAAAGGGTCGAGCCTTTGAAGGAGGAGAAAAATGTCCCTACCTACCCCCACTCTCCTTTTTACAGGGAATAATCCAGACCACTTGAAAATGAGTCATCACAACCTTGATGATCTGGGCCCCTTGGTTCTAAGTGTGACAGTCTTATGACTAGATTTTCCAGCCCACAGTGAATCTTTATCCAAGACCTTGAAGTGAAGGCATGAGTCAGAAACTTCAAGTAGACAGTAATATTGGGGGCCTCATGAGAAGTTCATCTGGTCTCTGCCCTCAGCTCTCTGCTCCAGTCAACCTAACCCAGTGACCATCCTGGGGCTACTGAATTTCTCTAGCTCTTTGGGCATGATGTCCCTGAAACTCAGAGGGCTCTAGCCTTCAGCTCAAACCCAGCTTGCACCTGACTTCCTCCACTAAACCCGAAGGAAGGCTCCTCTTGACTGGGATCTTCTCACTGCTGAGCTTTCACTGATTGTTTCCTTCATCCCAGCCAGCGGTTCTACCCTCAGGAAGCTTACCAAGGGCCGGGGAGGCAAATTTCCATACATGAGACACTCAGAAAAGAAAGAGCCAGAGAACAGAGCAGA